AATTTAAAGGGTGTTTAATTTGCAGTAGGATGGAACAATACTGAATTTGAAGTATATATAATTTGAAGTAAGATTGAACAACGTTAATTCTCCGTACATTAATGTGTCTGTAACAGTCATACCCTCGGTGGTTTCATAAGTTATAACTAAGTGTTTTTGTTCTATAAATACTTTGGTCTTCAATAAATGTTGGATTGTTTAGACAGCTGCTACGATGCTTACCTTAAGATGTTCGTTGTTTTATAGTTGTTTGGTTGCTGTCTTTATTGGCGTACACGTCACAATATTTAATGTTTACATTTTGTAATACTAGCTACGGTACGCTTTTAAAGGATACGATACAGTAGCAGGGGCAGATTATATATTTATTTTAAGTTAACGCGTTGTTTTGCGACTTGCTAATAATATGCATCCGAATATGTCGAATTTTCAGCATGTTCCTGTTAATTTATCATGAAAATCATTTGACCCATTTTTTAAAACCAATAATATTATATAATATTGAAATTTGGTTTATGGAAGAATATTATTCAATTTTGAGAGCCATTATTAGAGCCAGGATGCATGGAACTATCTGTGATCTTACACAGCTTGATTCAGCTTTGAGTGAGTGCATTGTCAATTTTATAAAACAGTTCTTGAAATTATAAAACCTCATGTTATATTGCTGCAAAGTTTGAGTTAGGACGGTTTGAACTTTCCATATACTTTTTTTAGAATTAACTGTCAAAAAATAAACTCTCTTGTTCAAGAAGTTTTCAAAATAAATGCCTCTGAATTTTTTGGGAAATAAGCATGAAAACTACCTACACCTCGTTTCGAAAATGCATGAAGTATATTGAACCGGACATTTATATACAATACATCAGGCACAACTTTAAATCAATGATTCTTACGAAAATGAATTAAATCATCATACTTACAGTGTCTAAATTTAATATAGCTTATTTAAAAAAAAAACATGTACATTTGTTTTTTAAATATTAGCTTATCTTAAAATACATTTATTTTAGATATTTAACTACTTCCCACCAGAGATGTACGTAGGTCATTATTTTTACAACCTGCAGATATTTAACTTATTATATTGGATTTCTTTGTAGACATACACAAGGATAGTATAAAGCTTTGTTTGTAAACGCTTTTTTGATCAATGCAAATATACTTTGAAAACCACTAACCGTGCTTTTTATCCAGGTAAGCATGTTATTTAAATTCAAAAGATACTCATCGACATAAATGAAACATGATTAGCGTTATTTTGACAAAGCTTTTTTATTATCGATCTAGACCAATTACTAGAGAAACATCTTTTAGAAAATGTATTGAAAAACACACACCTTTTATGTTCACCAAGCTTGAAGCTTTAGAAAAACACATTTAAAAAATTCTGACTTTGATCATAAAAATAAACAACTTGTTAAGTGTGCAACTATTGTAACGTTAGATGCGTGAGCTCTAAACATGATTAACTGGACAGGTGCAGTAAATTCTTTGCAGAGTATATTCCTATGTTTACTGGATACAATCAACTAAGCAAAAAGCTATATTATAATAAACACTTCCGGTTAGGGGCACATGTACATAACATTCTGTAGTATAGTAAGAGAGGAAGATGAATCAATGTAAATTTTAGTAGCAGGTAATTTTGATAGTTATTTAAATGTTGCTTTGGTTTAATTATACGTATTTCATTGACTGTAAACCACGCTATGTGTGTGTATCATGTGTATGGCCTCGTCACAGTTTCTAACACAAGGAAGGGATCGATCATTGACTGTAAACAACAGAATAACCATACATGCTCGCGTTCAACATATCGAATACAAGCAGGGATCGATCAGGGAGATTTCATAAAAATAAGCATATAAATTTTTCATTAATGTCCTTTAAAAAATAGTTGAATTATTAGTTTACATCAGTTATCATTTGTCGATAATGAACTTTAGATACATCGAATTATGGGAGCGCAGATACTTCCAGCGACAAATATTACATGTTTGTTTAGGTAGAAGACATATTAATGTCGAATGAAGATTACTTGCATTTATCCTGTTATCTACCATGATTACACTTTATACAGATAACATGAAGTAATAAACGTATCATAGCATACTAGTGATGTTGATTCTATTAAAAACAAATCCAACTGTTGGGAAGTAAAATAAAACACTAAACGTTTAAGCGTAAATATTAAATTGCAGGATAAAAACAATATTCGTATATTGTAGGAAAATACAAAACATATGTGTACTCGCTTCGAAATAGGAGAAAAGCTCGACAAGCCTCGCTTTTCTCTCTGTTTTAAAGCTCGTACAAATACATTTTATATTTTCCTACAATGTACGAATATCATCTATTTTACTAGATCCACGCTCTCGCGCACTACATAGCAAACAAACCACAAAGGGAGATGTCACCTAAACGGGACACACTTTTTCTGCCTCATACCCGACAAGGCTTTGTTATAGTACCTCCTTGATATCAGTTCTTAAATCGTTTCCCAAAAAAATTGTTAAAATTAACTTAAAAGCTGTTCCAATGGTAAAGTAAAAGTACAAACCGACGACAAATAAGTCATTATTGAAAACAAAGTATTGTTAAGCAGGGTCTATGATGTAGGTGTCTAACACTAAAAACTAAGTCTCTGTTGACTGAGTTGTGTGTTGTCCCGCAACAACACACACACACACACACACAGGACCAATAAACAATAATACGAGTCTACTCCGACTGTAAGGACTAATTCTAGCAACAAACGACGACTCTGACTTCCGCGGTATTTGAATTAACAAGTTCAGCATGGAAAACAATTTACATAGTTGTTGCTGCTCAGTGTAATACTAAATCCAATCTGCCATATCGAGATGTTGTATATAACAAACCAAAAACACACTGGTATAGACTTGAAATTATTTCTCTAAATGAGTGACAAATACAATTTACGGATAATAGAAAAAATAGAACATAGCTTATAATCAAAAATAGAACATAAAATTGAGAATGGAAACGGGGAATGTGTCAAAGAGACAAGAACCCAACCAAAGAGCAGAAAACAGCCCAAGGCCACCAATGGGTCTTTAGCACAGTTAGAAACTCCTGCACCCGGAGGCGGGCTTCAGCTGGCACCTAAACAAAAATGTATACTAGTTCAGCGAAAATAGACGTCACACTAAACTTCGAAATATATAAATGAACCAAAATTAAAAAAACGTACGAGGCTCCTGACTTTGGTCAGGCGCAAACATGCGGCGGGGTTAATTATGTTTTGTGAGATCTCTACCCCCCCCCCCCCCCAATTCCTCTAGCCAATGTAGAATATACAAACACACAACATTACACACAGTAAAACTCAGTTTAAAAGAAGTCCGAGTCCGATGTTAGAATAGGTAACAGAAGAATCTAAGTGAAATTACAATGATGAACATAAATTGACTAGAACATCTAGCAGTTACTGACATGCCAGCTCCAGACCTCAATTAAACTGATATCGAAAGATTATGTCTTCGTAATATAAAAATCAAGCACAATCCCTCCCGTTAGGGCATTAGTATCATGCCATTATAAATTATACGAGAAGAACATAAGCCGTATCATGCCAAAAACTGGTTTTAGAATTAATATTTTTTTTTTATTTCCGATTTTAGATATGAGATCCGGTTGGAGAATTGTTAGCTGTTTTTACTCATCAGTTAGATTTGGTAAGTTTTTTCAATATTTTTTTTAAGCCTGTGTGATACATTTTTGACATAATATAATTGTATATAAAATAAGAACTCACAATCGACTACACGATCAACGGGGCATGGAATGTAAGTTTTAGCTATACTCTACCAATCGACTATTACTACAAGGTATATCACTAGTGGACAATGAACGAAGCGATGGTAGACCTTCATTGTTACTCTATATATATTGTTGGTGTTTAGTTTCAGCATTGTGTTTTTTTAGAGTTAACATTAGTCCGATTGGTATATAACTCCGTTTTAAAGACATTCGTGCGCTTTAGGTATGCACTTTCGTAAAGGATTGATTGATTGGTTGCTGTTTACTTAAGATCCAGTGGCAAATATTTCATTCATATTTAGGACGAGAACAAACTAACAATAATAATAGGCTGGCTTTGTAGGTCGACCAAGATAATTAAACTGCGTGAAGGGGCAGAAATGTTGCACTGCACCCCTTAAATAGGTTTTGCATGAAGAGAACATGTCACTCTCCCTACATAAGGCATCCGATTTAATGATGTTTGCACCTTTTGGTTTTTAATTTTTGCCAAATACTCGGAATCCTCTGGTTTTATCCATGTAGTGCCATTAAAAATTTTGCCCGCTAACTCCTACTTTTCTTTTCATATTTTTATAACATATAGTTTTAAAAGCCATATTGGAAAATATAATAAGTGTCTTGTTATTTTTTCATAGTTTTTGAAAGAAAAAAGGTGCCAATGCTAAATGTATGAAAAATCTGGAGAGAATCATTTCCCGCCAAATTTTCAATGGCTTATATCTCGAAAGCGAGCTCACTGACCCTTCATTTTTTTCTACTTTTTTAGTTCCTTTATTTATATACTCTCAATTTATAACTGTGTTTTAAAAAGCTTGTTAATTTGAAACGAGAGTAGCGAACATCCTTAATATGTCCATTCAGATTGGACGTGGCTAAGCATTTATACATCCTGCAAAGACAAATACACACCCTTGGTAATAATATTATCTGAAGTCTTGATTTAGATACTCTTCTTATTTTAAGTTGCATATTTTATTTTATCAAGTTACATTGCGCATATCAATCACCACTGTACTATTTAAATGGCTAAGGATACTTTAAAATTAAATATCCAACAACAGTTGATGGCTCAATGTCATAATTTAATTAAATAGATTAGTTTTGTACAGTTACCATGATTACGCCATGCGCATTTATTCAAAGACTATTGATATTGTCCGGGTGGGCTTTACAGAATAGAGAATAAGTGGACACAAAACATAAAGAATCAAAAAGAATGACAAAAACAAAAAAACAAGTACTGAAACTGAGATCCCGTTCCAGAGCCTCGTATTTTAACTTTTTATATACGCATCGATATCAAATTTTATTCGACATGTTTTCGGATTGTTTTTCATCCTATAACCATCTACTCTGGATGTTATACGTTTCTACTATATGTTCTTTTCCAGGGTAAATATTTCATTTTTTTTTATTTTTTTACTCCTTTCCCACTCTTTGGAAGCAAAAAAGTCGGTTATTGGAAAATGAAATATTTTGTTATGCTGTCCCTTCAAAATAACTGTTAAATAATCTAGTTACAATTTTCTAGTAGTACTGGAAAAGCTTTGTTTTTGTAATTGTTAATTTATTTCTTAAACACATTCTTTCTCTTTGTACATTAATTACAATTGTGATGGCTTCTACCGTTTTAGAGATGTAATACATAGCTCACAAAGGGCTTAACAAACACATTTTGTTTTTGTTAACTTAAAATGAAAAGTTTTCAGCATGTTTGCCATACGGTTGCCTATAATTGCTTACATCCATTTCATTTGATCTTTGGTGGATAGTTGTCTCATTGGAATTCATACCACATCTCCTTATTCTTATATTTGTTTATTTGTTATTTTCTGTCTGTAGATCTATAGACCTCGCTTCAACCGTAATTAAAGCAAAGTAAAGTAATCTTTATTCAAAGTCGAAGTGGGTGTCCTTCATTTCTATATTCTTAAACCTTTTTGGATTATTTTTCTCTATTCTGTAACCTTTTTGGATTATTTTTCTCTATTCTGTAACCTTTTTGGATTATTTTTCTCTATTCTTTAACCTTTTTTGGATTATTTTCCTCTATTCTTTAACCTTTTTGGATTATTTTCCTCTATTCTTTAACCTTTTTGGATTATTTTCCTCTATTCTTTAACCTTTTTGGATTATTTTCCTCTATTCTTTAACCTTTTTGGATTATTTTTCTCTATTCTGTAACCTTTTTGGATTATTTTTCTCTATTCTGTAACCTTTTTGGATTATTTTTCTCTATTCTTTAACCTTTTTGGATTATTTTTCTCTATTCTTTAACCTTTTTAGATTATTTTTCTCTATTCTGTAACCTTTTTGGATTATTTTTCTCTATTCTGTAACCTTTTTAGATTATTTTTCTCTATTCTTTAACCTTTTTGGATTTTTTTCTCTATTCCTAACCCTTTTGGATTATTTTCCTCTATTCTTTAACCTTTTTGGATTATTTTCCTCTATTCTTTAACCTTTTTTGATTATTTTTCTCTATTCTTTAACCTTTTTGATTATTTTTCTCTATTCTTTAACCTTTTTGGATTATTTTTCTCTATTCTGTAACCTCTTTGGATTATTTTTCTCTATTCTGTAACCTTTTTAGATTATTTTTCTCTATTCTGTAACCTTTTTGGATTATTTTTCTCTATTCTTTAACCTTTTTGGATTATTTTTCTCTATTCTGTAACCTTTTTGGATTATTTTTCTCTATTCTGTAACCTTTTTAGATTATTTTTCTCTATTCTTTAACCTTTTTGGATTATTTTTCTCTATTCTGTAACCTTTTTAGATTATTTTTCTCTATTCTTTAACCTTTTTGGATTATTTTTCTCTATTCTGTAACCTTTTTGGATTATTTTTCTCTATTCTTTAACCTTTTTGGATTATTTTTCTCTATTCTTTAACCTTTTTTGGATTATTTTTCTCTCTATTCTTTATATTTTTCGCCCTTTATTCTATACTTTTTATCCATTATTCTGTAAACCAGACGCCACTTGTATTCTTTCTATTCTGTAAACCAGACGCCACTTGTATTCTTTCTATTCTGTAAACCAGACGCCACTTGTATTCTTTCTATTCTGTAAACCAGACGCCACTTGTATTCTTTCTATTCTGTAAACCAGACGCCACTTGTATTCTTTCTCTCATTATTTTGTATTTTGTGAACGCAGTTTCTAGTGATACATCTTATATGAACAATATCTTTTTTCAGTATACGTAAAAATGGCACAAATAAATATTTGGAACATAAGTGGTCATTTTCACCATCTCCTAAAAAATAGTAAGTAAAATTAATGATAATATATGTTGAAAAAAAGTTTAATTAAATTGAGAATAGAAACGGGGAATGCGTCAAAGAGACAACAACCCGACCAAAGAGCAGAAAGCATACATGTTTCTTACTCCATACGGAGTTTTATATGGCAATATACGGGGGAAGAAAAGGGACATTAAAAGGGTATTATGATGGAATGCTTTCACTGTAACAGTTATGTTTAAGTCACTTTAGAATATGAGACTCTCGACTTTTTATGTACTTTTGTCTCCAAAATCCTCATATTCGGATTTATTCCAGAAAGAGATGTATGGCGTACAAAAATTAACGCCTATATACTTACATTTATTCAAATCGAAAAATCTTGAAAAACACCTTTTCTCACAACAATACTTATTCATCAGAATCATAGCCTAAAAGAAATCAATGCAAATAGTATAACTTTTCTTTTACAGTACATTTTGCAATAACATGAGCAACACGACGGGTGCCACATGTGGAGCAGGATCTGCTTACCCTTCCGGAGCACCTCCTGAGATCACCCCCAGTTTTTGGTGGGGATCGTATTGCTTAGTCTTTAGTTTTCTATGTTGTGTCTTGTGTACTATTATTTGTCTGTTTGTCTTTTTATTTTTTAGCCATGGCGTTGTCAATTTATTTTCGATCTATGAGTTTGACTGTCCCTCTAGTATCTTTCGCCCCTCATTTTCAAAGAATTTAAAAACAAGACTTTTTTTAATTATTGTCAGCTTACCCTATAGCTAAGTGCATATTTTCTGACATGAACCTGTATGAAACTATTCAGATAACAAATTGAAAGCATTTCAGAATACTATAAATGTATAGTTTAGTAGTTAATCATTCCAAAATTCAAGGTTATGCAAGATATCCGATCCTGCCTCTGTCTATACTCCACATCTTACTGTATGCCTATTTATCTATAAAAGTTCACAATTTCTGCCTGAAATGATCAATTTCAATCTAATTGAAATTAAACCCATTAGCTGCTGCCGTTCTGATATGTCGGATTTATATATAACTTCATGAAATATTTATAAAACTTTATATTTGAGTTAATTTCATTAAAATCTCTGAAGATAAACCAGATTTTGTGAAATTTACATGTTCTCTTTTTTCTCAATATAGGTTGTACTTCTGTAAATATCGACAAGGCAATTTCCCATAGAAACTCCTTTTACGGCTAAAACTGTGCCACTTTTACTATGAAGTTTCGTACAAAATTATATCCTAGAAAGGAAAGTTCATATGCGCTACTTTTTTATTTTCAAAGATCAAAACATAGGCCTGTGCGGCATATATTCAACATTTATATGCTTCAAACTTCTAAGAGTTTAAACTTATACATAAACTCTGTACCATCCCTCCCTTCCCTTTGGGTCTTTCTTAGAATTCTGTTTGGCCGCTATCCATGTGTATTTATACTGGTAACATTCCCAAGTTATGTTTCTATGAGATGAAACATAGAGACCATATCTGGGAACCAGTATATAAACAAAGCAAAATAGCTATGAATATTATATATCTCCCCTAAAAGAGGCGTGGTTTGTGAAACAGCTGTATTTACAAAGTCCAAAATATAACTATTGAATTGTCATTTGAGTTATACATTATAAAAATATGGAGATGTGGTATGATTAACAAATGAGACAACTATCCACCAAGTTCAAATGAAGTTTGTTTGAAATTGAGTTGCACATATGCTTAAGAAAAAAAGTGTGAAATCTTAAATACTAATTTTGTGTCAAAAGCCAAGCTCCGTAGGGAAAATGCCAGGATGTACTCGAGTCGATTACTTTCAAGTACAGAGTTAGATTCTTAATGGCAAGAAGAAGAGAAAGAACATATTCTTACAAATGTGGAATTCTCATCATTAATAAATTGTTTGTTATATTTGCTTGACATTCAGCGGTAAATATTCAAACAGTATTGCAGTTTACTTACTTAACAATTTTTGAATTTTGTAATTACATGTAGGTTATCATTTAAATTGGATCGAAAAAGGGAAAGAATTTAGACTGTCTGTGTTTTTGTATTCTTTTGTTTCGGGAGTAACGTGTCTAGGACATATGTAAGTAATTAGAAAATAAAATGCTCCAGTATTTCAACATCTTACATATTATGTTACAATTATATATATGAGATATGATTAAGATTCTTTTAACTAAATAAATTATTTATATTCATATGAAAAAAAAAACAAACTTAAAAGTGGTGATTTGAAAGAGTTTGTCACCTGTTGGTGACCTTCTGCTGTTGTCTGTTCTATGGTCGGGTTGTTGTCTCTTTGACACATTCCCCATTTCCATTCTCAATTTTATTTGGTTGCCTTTTACCTATATGAAGAACTATGATTTTTTTAATAGGAACAGCGAGAAAAATTGCAGTAATTTGCTTACTTCTGGCAGGAATTTACTATACGTTTTTTTACCGACAGTCTCTGCTTGATTCACTAAACCAGAATCCTTCACACAAATATAACTGCAGTTCGATTGCTTATCAGGATAAGATAGGAATCAAAAGAAACAAATCTGTGTGTGTTAAATTCGGAGGAGGATTAGGAAATCAACTTTTCCATTTTTGTTTTGGATATACCGTAGCTCGAAAGAAAAATATGCAGTTAGTAATAACCAGAAAAAATATTTTAACACAGTATTTCAAATTGGTGCCAAATCATTGGAAGAATTATGATTTAAATGCAGATATTTGTGAGTGTTTGCCATTAATAACTGATAAGGGATACGATTGCGGATATGACAAGAAATTAGAACATTTACCAAGTGACCAAGATTTATCATTTTTAGGATTTTTCCAGTCCTGGAGATATTGGAAAAAATACGAGACTGAACTAAGACAGATACTTCAGTTTCAAGATAATATTTTACATGAAGCAAAATCTAAGTTTAATACCATTCTTTCAAAATACCAAAAATATGAAGGCATAGAAACTATAGGAGTACATATACGTAGATTCGATAGGTATGACACAGATGAATTTGGTAAAAACAATGCACCAAAAGAATATATAATTCATGCCATGGACTATTTCAGAAATATGTATAAAAGGTGTTTATTCCTCATCTTTTCAATTGAAATGAAATGGACTAAAAAGAATATTCCACAAACTGGTGACATTTTCCTTGTCGAAGGAAATTCAGCACCGGTAGATCTTGCGATGTTAACGCTTACAAGCCATACCATAATGACCGTTGGAACATTTGGCTGGATGGCTGGATGGATGACCCAGGGGAAGACAGTTTACTACATGCACCCTGCCACGCCTGGATCTGCATTTTCTAAACTTTATTCGAACTATTCTGATCATTTCTATCCTGGATGGATTCCGATGGAATAAATAAAGTGACAGACGATACACATCTGGTCTAGTGTCATCTAAAGTGTCTAATGACGTCATATTAACTTGAAACTGAAAGAAGTAAATTTCACGATTTTTGCGGAAAATCTAAAATAAGGTAGAAATTATTTTAAGTAATTTCACTAACTGTAAAATATACCAAATAGTTAGTACAATTACTAAACATACATTAAGGGTTCAAGCTACGGTCTTGAGGGCTTCAGTCACTTTTGGGTGATACAAAAAAAACCCGACCTTTTTGAACTTAGTCGTAAGGCAGTATAAATTGCATGGGCTTAAATACATGAAAAACGCATGTTTATTGTGTTCTTTCATTTTTCCCAGCATTTCATTAGTATACTAATAAATATATACAGATAAAAATTAAAACAAATCAGCTGTTATCTTGTAAAAAGATGCATATCACATTAAAAGAGTTACTATTTGATATCTTAAGCAGCCAAAATATCGTCCTCCATCTAGAATAGATTGGAAATTAGTGTCAGCACTCAACAGAGACGCTTTTTCATCAAACTGTAAAACTTGGCGTAAAAAAAATTAAGAATACAGAAAAATGGCCTACAAAATAGAATACAAATTGAAATTCTCCCTTTTTCTTCTTAGTCAAGACATTCTTTGCTATGATGATGATGATGGATGGCTGATTAACGTTCTGCGGCAAATTAAATGGCATATTCAGGACGAGAACATGTTTAATAATGTAATATGAATATTAACCCTGCTTTGTACCGACACGCGGAGCTGGATTTTTAACGTGCTAGTTCACAAGGTAACAGTCCGCAGGAAGACATGTCACCATACCCGGACACATTATTCTGACTCCGAGTCTTTGCCTTTACTCCTTAATGCCGGGTGCTTAGCGAAGAAGCAGCAAATACCGATTTTAAAGTCTTTGTTTTCACCCGACCGGGGTTCGAACCCACGACATCCCGCACACGAGACGAACACGCTACAACGAGACTACCGAGGCTGTTTTTTTTTTTTTTGCTATGCAACACAATTCAAAATACATAAACCTAAATGCCCTAAAGTTAAATGGATGGTGTACTTAGGAAAGGATAAAATTTGAGTTATCTTTCTTGGAACTAAATTCCTATAGTCGATGGTTTGTACACAGTATACGTGATTACAATATGGCATCAATTTAATTAGACTGAAACAGACAGACAAAACTCATCTGATTTTGAATTAACGGGTTTCAAGAAGACGATGTTTCATATAAGTTCATTGTAATTTTCCTCTTTCTGTAAAAAACGTGTTTATCATGAAGCTACGGTAAACGTTGCAAATAGTGATCATATTAATTTTTTTTTATTAAACTCGAAATGAAGGCAAATCAGTTAATATATTTATAACACCTGTCGTTGATTTACTTGAATGTCGTCTACCTGACATAAATATGTCGCTAGGTAGATTAGTGTACGATGTTTTTTTTTCTTTTATAAATTTTATTGACGAATTTGATGAAAAATACATTCATTTTGAAAAACTTTTCGTAAATGTTTGACGGGCACTAGCGAAATCATATATGATATGTAAAGATATAATTTGTGTGACACATTAACAATATCGGGGAAAAATTAATTAATATATATGTCTTTTATATATTTGTAAAATGAATTAAGTTTGAAAGTAAAATTTCTAATATTTTATCAAAATTGTTTACACCAGAAATTTATATTTCTTTTTAATTTTGTTTTTGTTTTTTATGCATGATTATATGAAAATTGTTACAAAATCTAGAGAACTTTTCAAAGAGTGGCGAAAAATACCAAAGGGATATTCAAACTTATAAGTCGACAATAAACGGACAATGCCATCGCAAAAAATGAAAAACGATGAAAACAGAAACAACAGTATACAAAACACAACATGGAAAACTAAAGACTGAGCAACACGAACCCCACCAAAACCCGGGTTGATCACAGGTGCTGCGGAAGGGTAAGCAGATCCTGCTGCACAGGATTCAAGTTACAGATATTGTTACCATGGGTAAATCAACCTAAGTGAAATTGGCCATACCACTTTTCATTACTAGTATTTATACTCAGGAACACAATCAATTTCATTTTTTTTTCTATTTTTCTAAACAATCACTTTCTCCTAACTAATTAATTATAGGTTTCAAAATCAGACTTTGTATTCTATACTTAAGTTATACTAAAGATTTGGATAGAGTTTTCAGAATAGTGGACAATAACATGTCATAAGGTATACCAATATTTCATATTCTCTATGTCAACGTCATAGACATACAGTAATAGAGATATGTTCTTCAGGCTTAATATGCGTGCCAATCCTAAATAATTGTTATTCAACTGCTAGATGCTCAAGAGAATGTCATCCATAGAATTGTACGAAACGTTTGAAAAATTAAGGATTTGAAAGCTGCTACAACCGAATCCTGAAATTTTAAAATATGATATACCTATGTGTATATCCCATGACCTACATTGTATCATTTTTGGATCGGGATAGGTAGGGAGGTAATAAAAAGGTTGAAGATATATAGACTGAATTTAGTAGACATGTGAAATCCTTAATTTAAACAATTGGCCTATTCATTTACCGTGGATTCTTTTTCTAGAATCAACGCTTCCTAAATTGGTCGCTGAAATCGACCCACTTAATCATATTCAATTGTTTCCTTTGAGGGCCTAATTTCATTAAGTTTGAATTTGATAATTTACTGATTCTGTTCACTAATGGAATTAATTTAAAAACTTACCTTTAACTTTTGTAATTTTTATATGCTTTCACTTGGAATCGAACCCCTCCTTGAAATTTGTTATGTGTGACTGACATCAACACATCGACGAAACCTCTCGTCTACCAATGGGTTGCAATTTTGATGTCTATTTTATATATATAAATGCACATACGATACACATTGGTACAACGGAGACACAGGATTTGTTTTATATATACATAATAGACAATCGTAGTATAAGTTGGTAGCCGGGAGGTTAAGATCCATGAGTTATAGAGTCAAGTTAGAAGTAGACACTTATCGGTTTAGGTTCGAATCCCTGTTTTCTCTTCGTTGTCCCTATTGTTTTGTTTTTCCGTTTTTCTTATTTTGTATGTTATTGTGGATATTTTTTTAATAATGGCGGGGTTTCCCATCTAATTTTTGGATCATTATTGGAAAATTCACGTAAAAAATGATTACATTCGATTTGTGCATTTTTTTATATATATAGTATGATTTCATCTGTTTTACTACATATAGTTAAACATGTTTATTCGCAAATACCCAATATGCAAGTAAATTGTGATGTGCCTACAATAAGGTTTCTTGCTAGTAATTTCGGTAACATACTTATCATATATACTAAAAATAAGTTCGAATATGTCGTATTCTGTAAATAACGGATAATATTCAGATGCATAAAAATTTCAAGACAGATGTGTTATGTTATATTTTTAGTTCTCTAACCAATTAATTATGAACTTTGATTTATTAATGCATCGTTGAACATGATAACAGGGTTATTTATACTCACTTACATTACCTTCTTAATAAGAAAAGGCTTTAATTTTGAAAAGACATCAAAACAATAGTTTAAGTTATAAAAGCAACAGGGCTCATGGTTTCTTTTTCAAGAATCAACGCTTATGCATTGCATCTATAATACATAATTCATGTATAAATCTAAAAAAAAAACAAAGATCAATTTCCTTTCAATGTATAAAAGTACAAAACATGGTTAAACCGCGTTTTCCAACAAGTGCCCATACAATAACCCCAAGTACCCCCCCCCCCCCCCCCTGTGAATCATTGATTGATTGTTGGTTGCTTAACGTCCAGTGGCAAATATTTCATGCATATTCAGGACGAGAACAAATTAACAATAAATACAATAGGTAGGTTCTGTAATAGGGGCGTCCGAGATTAAGGTCGGAGAAATTTAGATTGCCACGGGAAATGAGGGTATATTGGATAGGGACAGAAATTTAGCCTTGCAACAGGTCACCTACGGACCCCTCTAAGAGTTGTTGCAAGGGATCTTAACGTGCAAAGAGCGTGGCACTCTCTTTACACGAGTCATCGGATTTAACGTCCCCATTCTGACCGGACGTGACTGCAAATTTGTACATCCCGCACAGCCAAACGGACGTCCCACTTTAGCAAGGGTTTTACTGCCGGTCGGAGGAAGAACAATGCAGACCATACTTCTATTCCCCAGTCACCCTTGGGGGCGCCTTTAACAATGAGAAAACCCCATACCGTATAGTCAGCTATAAATGGCCTCGACATGTGAGAACAAAAAAAAATATATTTTGAAAATGGATTTTGTTATTAAGGTCTGTCTAAGGTAGGACTTTAATACTAATATTTATCAAATTCCTTCATTTTTAAAACACCACAGTAATTCGAAAATGATATATTGATTGTATAATGATAATACTTAATGGATAAATATTCAAATTAAGATGCTTCCTTTTATATCTATTCATGTTTATTGTTCTCTAGAATTATCTTTTGTTTTATATATAAACAGTTAATAGAGAAATAAGAAGATATGGTGTGATTGCCAATTAGAAAACCCTCCTCCAGAGATCCAATGATATAGAAATTAACAACCAAAGGTCCCCGTACGTATGAGCAAACTAATACTGCATAGTAAGCTTTGAAAGATCCCAAAATGACAAATGTAAAACAATCCAAAACGATAAAATTGACTGCTTCATTTCAGTACAAAAAAATAAATAAATAACAAATACAGTAACAAACGACAAACACTGAGTTATAGCCTCTTAATTTTGGACAGGCACATAGAGATGTTTGTTGGCGCCAAAGCCTCCCCTAACATGGGACAGTGGTGTTACGGTACGACATAAGGAAAAACTATAAAGGTCAATTAAAAGCTTAACTCATCATCGCTACATAGCACACAAATTCCCTTACTTCCAAACTACAATCCCGTCCCCTTTTCCCGAATGGGACCTACCGATTTAGACTTCTTACCGTTTGTACTAACATGAGTAAGACGACGAGTGCCACATGTGGAGCAGGATCTGCTTACCCTTCCGAAGCATATGAGATCACCCCAGTTTTTGGTGGGGTTCGTGTTGCTCAGTCTTTAGTTTGTTATGGTGTGTTTTGTGTACTATTTTTTGTTTGTTTGTCTTTTCCTTTTTTAGCCATGGCGTTGTCAGTTTATTTTCGACTTATGAGTTTGAATGTCCTTTTGGTATCTTTCGACTCTCTTACAAAAACACGAAAGACGCAAAATACAGATCTGAGAGTACTCACAGTTACTGAAAGCTAGTTCAAAACAAATAAAAACTAATAAAAAAATCATTTGTTTAAGACTAAAATATCAATCAGTTCACATCTGATGAATTTACTGTAAAGACGTCATTAACAGTCAGAGAAGAACATGACATTTGTGCAATGCCAAAATATAGGTATCGAAAGATTGTAGAACCATGAATGTCCATAAGAGTAAAACAAAGATTTTTATTTAGGTTTTAAATTACAGATAACAGAGTAAATATTTGATCCGATAAAAACAATATTCAAAGATCTAATTACAGTGTCGAACTTATAACCTTTAAGATTATTTAAAGGATCGATAAGTTTACCCGGATCGTATCTAAATTTACGGGCTCGATAAATAAAATCACAGAACAAATTAGGATGTGCTATCCCGTTTGAAATAAGTTTTGTACAGGTACAGCTAAACTTCCAGACGAAATCTTTATAAGAATTTAGTTAAGATGTTAAGTAATTTGTTGTTACAAAATCCCTGATTCAATAATTTACCAGTAATACATAGATAACGTTCATTGAAATCCAAAACGTCACTACAGACACGGGCATATTGAACGAGTTGTGATATATAAACAACGTAAGATGGTACCAAAAGAACATCACTGTCAAAAAAAGGAATAATTAACAAATAGAAAACAAAAAATCGTCCCTTTTGTCGTAATTTTTTGTTTAGAATTTCCCGTGTAAAACTGAAATATCCATATATAAGAAATGACAGTTATAACCGTTTATATTTGATTTATCTAAAGTAAATTCTTAAAGGTAAATTTCGGCATTATATTTAGAAAATGATTCATTATTTAACGAAAAATATCTTCAAGAAAATGGTAAGTTATGTTGAATTTATCAATTAAATGCAATGTAGACGGGTCTTTACTGAGTGTGGCAATACACTGTGATTCATAAGAGTACATGAATCAGTATGTTTGCTTTGGGGCGCAATTGGTACTCATAAGAATACCTACAACCTGTTGATAAACTTTATTGCTGAAATGTACATTAAGGTTGTCAAGGAGAAAATGTACAGCTTCACTTATCTTCTCCGGTGAGTATATCTAGCAAATTTAGCTTGCTCATTAGAGAAGAAGGTTTACATGAGTTACAATCAGATTTTCCAAACGACCATTTAGTTAAATTGGAAAACCTTTTATTGATAAAATAGTGTCGAAGTGTAGTGTAAAGAGTTGAAAAGTCAAAAATATCAAGTGAATCAAAAGGATAAAAAAAATATTCCTTTAACAAATATGATACCATTGTCTCTACTTTAACTACATTAAGTATCGTTTCAACTTTCCCTGCTCCTCCTTTAATTGTGTTTTTACTTTATTTATACCATAATATAACGTTTGCAATATACAAAACTCCAACCTAAAGGTGTTTGTATTATTTAGCCAAACAACAATACTGATCAATAGTTGTTTTTTTTTCATATGACTTTTGTTTTTTGACCAAATTGCTTCAGAGGATTGCACATTTCATCATTGCAGATATAAAGGTTCAGAATAAATATACGATGAAAAACAGTTCATGTTTAACATTTTATAATGTACGAAGAGGCATGTTCTAATGAAAAAAGAAGTGAACATACTGATTTTTATTAGACAGATGACATGAGTATGTTCTTATATAGAAGACAATGATTCAAGGTTATCCCACTTTTTTCTAGAGATTATTTCACGATTATCTAATTGATTGATTGTTGTTTGCTAAACGTCCGGTGGCAACAGTGTCAAGCAAGATCCACAGGCGTTTGGGTACAGGATTTGAATAACAAAATTCTTTTTTTGCACTGAATATTCCAATTTCCATTTTTATACCACACACTGAACACTACAAAGCTTGCCCTACCTGGGTTTGGATGAATTTATCCCCTTTGGAAACTAAGGCAGCTAACTGAAGCCATTTTGTTTTAAACTTGGCTTTACGTGCAAAGTTTTATCAAATAGAAGATAATTATTTCTCGGACCTTTTTTGGACAACTTTTCGAGTTCGCTGAGCTAAATAAAAAGTAGAAAATAAAAACCCGGGAAAACATTATTTCCCTGAGGTAAAATTTAAGGAAAAAGTAGCCTCTCCTGCATTGTTTATGAAACTTATGGGCACGTAAAGGCAGTTTTATTGACAAAACTTTAAAGATTGTCATTCCATGTATGACTTTTGATATTTTTATAAATGTCCGCTTCACGTTTGACCTATTATTCTCAAAAACATCCGGTTTTGATCTTTTCAGTTACGCACTACTTACAAAGGTGTTATAAAATAGCCAGCAGGCACATCCAAATAACAAAATAAGAAACAAATAATGTTTAGTACTATGAATAGAATTTAATAGATATTTAATTTAACTCAATATGTTCGACGGATGGCGGATGTGTTCAGTGACGATGTCTTCTTTTATGACATCGTTTTGTAGGTTGCGTTGTTTCCTCAGTTGTTGTTGGAATGGTGGTGGTAGATGGTGGACACCCGTCTGGTAGCGTGTCATTTGCATCACATGGAGTTGCGCCTGTACACACCGATACCGTTTCACATGGAAGTGAAGCTGTGTCTGAATCTGCAGGAACAAATAATAACTCAACAATAAGCAAACAAAAAGAATATACAACTACAGTGGAGATCACTTCTAACATTTCATTAGAACTGTCAGAATAATCTGTCATAGAACTGTTCTCAACTGTCCTAGAACAGTTCTACCTAGAATAGTTCTACCCTAGAACTGTTCTAAGTTGAACTGTCAGAATCAGTTCTAGGTAGAACTGTCAAGATCAGTTCTAGGTAGAACTGTCAAGATCAGTTTTAGGGTAGAACTGTCTAAAACTGTTCTAGGTAGAACTGTTCAAATCAGTTCTAGTCGTAGAACTTTCAGCAGAACTGACCAAATCAGTTCTAACCGTAAAACTGTCAGCAGAACTGTCTAAACCTGTTCTAGCCGTAGAACTGACCAAACCTGTCAGGATTGTAGAACAGTTCTAAATGACGTCACTTCAATTTTTTAATATATATTATATTCGTTTGACTTATTTATATTTAAGACAAAGAGTTCTTAAAACTGTTCTATGGATAGAACTGACTAAACCAATTCTAGCCGTAGAACTGACCAAATCAGTTTTAATCGTAGAACTGTTCTAGCCGTAGAACTGTTCTAGTCGTAGAACTGACAAAAGATTTGGTCAGTTCTAGGCAGAACTGTCTTAAACTGTTCTTGGGTAGAACTGCAAGATCAGTTCTAGGTAGAACTGTCTAAATCAGTTCTAGGTAAAACTGACCAAATCAGTTCTAGGTTAGAACTGTAGAAGCACAAAAATGTCGTCATTCACCTCAAAAGCTAACTAAACCTTTAAACCGACTTATTCGGAAAGGATATAGTTACGATACTGTTTGCAAGTCATAAAGGATTGCATATTTTGGTATTAATATTGATTCACTCATAGGGTCTTTGCATCGAAAATAAACACATTTATTCTAAAACCAGTTGTTAGCATGATACGGGTTATGTTCTTCTCATATATTTTATGATGGTATGATACGAAACCCCTTACGGGAGGGATTGTACTTGATTTTCATATGATGAAGACATAATCTTTCAATCAGTTTAATTGAGGTTTTGAGCTTGCATGTCAGGAACTGCTAGTAGTCATTTGTTCATTTATGCATCATTGCCATTTTGCGTAGTTTCTTTTGTTACCGATTCTGACATAGGACTCGGACTTCTTTTAAACTGAGTTTTACTGTGTGTATTGCTTTGTGTTTCTTTTTTCTTCATTGAATAGAGGTATAGGGGGAGGGTTGAGATCTCACAAAACATGTTTAACCCCGCCGCATTTTTGCGCCTGTCCCAAGTCAGGAGCCTCTGGCCTTTGTTAGTCTTGTATGTTTTTTAATTTTAGTTCATTTATATGTTTTGGAGTTTATAGTGACGTCCATTTTCACTGATCTAGCACACAATTTTATTTAAGGACAGCTGAGGACCACCTCCGGGTGCGGGATTTTCTCGCTGCATTGAAGTCCCTTTAGTGGCCTTCGGCTATTGTCTGCTCTTTGGTCGGGTTGTTGTCTCTTTGATATTCCCCATTTCCATTCTCAATTTTATTAGCTAGAACTGTCTAAAAGGTGTCAGGATGGCAGTTCTACATACTGTCGTAGAAAAGTTTTCCAGATAGATTCTGACAGATTTGATGAGAGGTTGAAAGTGATCTCCACTGTAGCAGAAATATACCATTTAAAATAGTAATTAAAGATTGCAAAGTTTTGCAATTATTTATACTCAGTTCAATTTAATATACACAGCTTTTATAATGTACGTTCGAAAATGAAGGCACTACACTTCTTCAAGTATTGGAAAAGTAATTGTTCGTGTTTTTAGAATTTGTTGTGGAATGCACGTGATTATTCAAGACTGATATATGCAATTTTATAAAAGAAACTTTTTTGTTGAGATTTATTCATAATGCTACAAAATTTTATTTGCTATTATAATTAGATGTTCTTCAAATGTTTTGAGTAAACACCCGTGGTGAAATATGAATATATTGTATGTCAATTGATGGGCAGCGTCATGATTTGTTTGGGCTGTTCAAATCATACTCTCACATCGTATGCTTTTGATTTATAAGATACCCGAGGTCAGTCGGTCTAAATGACGTCATAGAACGATCGACTCAAAATTAAATTTTGCTGTTTGTTGAAGTCATTGTTGTGACTTTAAAGCGCATGGCGACAATATGACCACCCAGACATGCTCATGAGTCTTTGGTTCCGTCATCTATGTGTGAGAATATTACGTCATGAAACAATACAACATATTACCTAAGAATATAAGATAATTCATTATTGGTAAAGCAAAACTTTTTAAACAGTAAATTTTGACACAGTGTTTTGGTGTTATAGAAAATATCTTTCATATTTCTCATAAAACTTGTAATAAACTAAAATTCCGGTAATAGTATGCATTTACCTCTCTTATAAAACTACAACTTGCAAAAAACGGTTTAAGAAATATATTCTTTAAATTGTTGTATATTGCTATGCATACTTACTTGTTCCAGATACTGCAAATAATCAATTTTGTTACTCGAATATGAAAGGAATCATTGTTTCAAACTTACACATATGAAGTGAATATATTCAATTTGCATACATTGGAGAAAAGAAAAACATATATCAATTTGACTTAGAATCTTCAATCTAATGAAAGTAGAAACCTGTAACTTCAAAGTCTTTGTTTTTTCTTAATCATTTCAATTTTATGATATCATAATGAAAGAAACTTTTTCGTGTGTCTTTTTAAATAGTAGGGGATATTTTTTTGGTCAACAAAAGTGAGGAACTCTCAAAAAAGAAGTCCAAGGATGTTAGCTGATCGTTTGTTTCACTTTTTGTCAGATATTTGTAATCCTCTGGCTTTAGTCATATAGTGCTATTAAACACTTTGCCGGCTAATCCTTATTTTTCTTGTCATAATTTTATTACATATTGTTTTAAACATTTTATAAACTCCTAGGTATTTTTTCATAGTTTTGAGAGAGAAAAAAGGTGCCAAAGTTAAATGTATGAAAAATCAAGAAAGAATCATTTCCCCCAAAAATTTGAAGGCTTATATTTCAAAGTCAAGGGCACGGACCTTTCAGGATTTGTTCTGTTTTTTAAGTTCCGTTATTTATTCATAATCAAATTATCACAGTCTTTTATTTGTATTTTTGAGCAAGCAAATATATTTACCTGTAGCTAGATATGGATCGATTCCTCCATTAGGAGTACACAAATTACATACATTAGGATTGGTCGTAGTAAATGTAGCTTTTAAATGAAAATAAAATAAAAGTTAGTATATGTATAATCATTGTGATGATACCAATTAAGGTAAAGGTAAGCATATGACTGGCATGGCAATATAACATTGATGTAAATCTATTCAGTGGAGAAGTTATGTTATGTAGTTACTATTTTGTAATTTCTTCACAAATTCACCGATTTAATTGATCTAGTGAACAAACAATGGTTTTTAATCCTTTTCAATTTAAAGATGATATAAGATTGATATAAATTTTAAAAAAAATAACAGTCTTAAGAGCCATTCTCTGTAAGCATCAAAATATGATGGAAACCAGTGGTCACAGATTTTCATAAAACTTTTTTAAATGAATGCTTAGTGATGTAGAAACATATTGGTCATAATAAAAAAATATGGTAATGTTCATTACCATGGTAACTATAAAATTCATTTTCCGAAATTTACAGTAGAAACCTTTAAAGTCCAACTTAGTATTTCTTCAAAATGCACCGATAAAATCCCTTGAAATTAACAGAATACAAAGTTATCACATAATAGTTTTTATATGCCAAAAATCAGATATGTGTTATTTCAAATAAGAAAAATAATTCACCTTGGTCATATAGAAATTTGCTATCAGGAGTGCAAACTTCTACTAGAGTTATTTCCCTTAGTACAACTCTTTTGTTGTTTATGTTGAAAATGAAAGTAGCTTCAGCAGCAGACACACGAAATGGTTTGCAATTTTAACACAAACTGCACTACAGATGAGTGTTCTGATGATGTAACTGATATCAACACATGTGATTGCAATGACAAAAATATAATTTTAACTGAATCTGGTCTTTTGCCAAAGAATTTTACTGATTTTTATATATGCTCAACCCATTTTAACCAATTATTGAAAAGAAACTCGGATTTGAGAAGGAGAAAAGTATGTCAGCTTCCTACTTTGATAAGTGCTCATCCTCCAGTAGCATCACATTCTGTTGTTGGTGTTAAAAAGCCAAAGCCTAGCCGCAATATCACCATCAATGACGTAGAGAAAATTCAGAAGTGTTATGGCCTCACACTTCCTATTGGAACACGTAAGTTAAAAACTAAATTATATGTGACTGTTTATTTTTTTTAATGTCCAATTGCCTGTTTAATATTTTTTTAAATAACACTCTAGAAATACAAAAGAGCCCCCTATTTGCTACCATTTGAATTTTTAGGGGGGGGGGGGTGGAGATTTTGTCCTGCACTTCTTTTAGTTGTAATCTGATATTGTCTCTGTCTTGTCTTTTTATTTTTCACTCTATCTAGATAATGGGTCCTGTCTTATTATTTTATTAGTTTTATTCTGACTTTTTTTACATTATTTGTCATCCTGCCTTTTTTTTGACAAAGTTCCTCATCCTGCCTTTTTTTCCTCAAAACTCCTGATGCTCCTGTCCTGCCTTTTTTTTTTTAATTTTATCCTTAACCCCATAAAAATCAAATGGAAGCTTCCTAATGAGGGGAGGATCCTACACTTGAGGTACTTATTTATGTATATATATAAAACTAAAAGAATACACAGACTTGGCTAGAAGAGCTGCTGATATGGAATGTCATATATCAGTGGGGTGCAATTTACATTCAATAGGTCATACACATGAACATGTTGATCTTTTCTGTTACATGTAAGATGTCTGTAGAAACTGTGTTTTGATCTTTTCAATCTCAATATAAACATAACCATTGCTGTAAAGTTTCTATTAACCATATACATGTACATGTACATGTACATATGTAAGTTTTCAGTAATGATCGGACCCATATGAGAAAAAATCCAATACTGTGGATTCATTTATTTTCGTGGGTACCAATTTTCGTGGATTGAGGAAAACTTGCATATTCGTGGATATTTGATTTCGTGGTTTTCCAAAAGTTTGCATATAATCATACAGCAAATTTGCAATTCGTTGAACATTTAAATTCGTGGTTTCCCTGTACCAACGAAATCCACGAAAATTGATATCCAACGAATAATAATGAATCCACAGTATATTTAAACAACCCATATGCCCTTTCAAAAAAAAATTTAAGAAGCACATTTCCAAATGATCAATACAGCCTATGTCAAGTCAATGCTTCTTTTTTCAGCTGCATGCACTAGCTGCCTTATTAAAATTTCCAAGCAGTCCACAGAGATAGAAGCTGAAAGTCTGGATCAAGGAAAGTGTGAAGATGACCAGGTAAGGCAAACAAAATATTGTTTTAACAATCAGAGTATCTGTGAATTTATTTCCATTTTTAAATTTACGTGTACAGCAAGCTGTATAATCATAAATCATTATGTAAATATGGATAAAAAAAATCCAATGAATATCAACCATAACTGCTAAGTAAAATACACTTTATACAAATTCCATATAGGGTCAATGAACTCTTACCTAATTTACTGGAACAAAAAATAATAAAAAAAATAGACTCAGACTTTTTACTTTGTAAACCTGTCTGACACCAGTATCAACTTTATGAACAATTTTGTATACAACAGACACATTGCACCATAATCTGCTAAGATATAGGTCTTTGGCATATATGTTTATGCTTGATTGACTGTATGTTTGTTCAATATAAATTCTACATAGAGGATGATGTTGAATGATGGGCAATGAGACAGCTACCCACCAAAGAACACAGATATGAACAAATGCAGGTCACTGTATGGCTTTACAATGAAAACAATTCTTTTGGTATGGAAAGGCTATCAAGGGCAAGGGCCCCTGGATAATAAAATATAAAGCAGTCCAAAAAAGAAAATAAATGTTGACAGGATGTACCCAAAAACATTGAATAACCAATACGATTCTTATCAATAGTATAAAAAATATACTGATTTTATATTTGTATTAATTATATATATATAAACAGATTCAGCAATGCACAAACTTGAATACAGATGATGAAACCTATCTCATGGAGACTGACGAGTTGGATATGTTAACAGAAAAAGAAAATATTTGTGATAATCTTGTAAGCACAGCTAGTGTCTTTTTAGATATAATTGATGTTTGTTTTTTTTGTTTTTTTTTTGGGGGGGGGGGGGGGGTCCCTTAAATATGAGACAATTATAACAAGGTAAAGGATATTTTAGTAATTTGCATTATTTCAACACAAGAACAACATATTTATCATTTTTTGGGCACATTTCATACGAAAACAAGATGTGGTATAATGTCCAATGAGTCAAATCTCCACCGGAGACCAAAAGACATCGACGTAAATAGCAAATGGTCATTGTAAGGTCTTCAACAATAAGCAAAACCCATAATCACATAGTCAGCTATAAAAGGCCCCCAAAAGACAAATGTAAAACAATGCAATGACGGTGGTAAAAACTTTCTAAGTTAATACAAGGTTGGAATTTAGTTTAGTGCAAAAAATATATACTGTATACAGACCATAACATTTAAAAAAATCTGTACATTTTATTTCTATAGTAATTAATTAAGTTTGAAAACTAAAAATGTGTTAATGCATTTAGCACATTCAGGATTTCAAAAAATGTAAACAAAATACATCATTATTTTTCAGATTGAAATTTCAGCATCTGAATATACAGTTACATCAGAAGAGTCAGGAAGTCAAAATTATTTATCCCAGTCACAAGTAAGTAAAATCCTCAAAATAAGTATTCTATCACTTGTCATTGGTTGAAGTTTATATCATTAACACTTAAACATGATCAATGTGACAACTCAAAACAGAAATAAAAGCCACATTCAAAAGACATGAATCCTGAAGTATATATTTTAGGCACAATTACCGGAAATTAAAAGGGAACAGAATTAAAAGAAGAACATTCAAAATGTATCAGCATTACTTTGTTCAACGCCAGTTGTTTGTATTTATGCAAGATTGATTATCAACATATACATAATTCTTTACCGTTGCCTGCGTAATGTCTAGTGGCAAGTATTTGATGCATACTTAGAGTGAAAATAAACACTTTAGTACAGTTAAATTAATCGTTTACTCAGTAAATTATTTTGTACATGTACTAATAAACTGCTGTGATGCCTTACTATATTAAACATGTATGAGGATAATGCAGGACTGGCTTCTTGCAGAGGTGTTTTCAAATTTTTTTCAACAGTTCTGACTTTTTTAAAAGCTCTTGAAATCATAAACTTGTTTTCAGGTTCTTTATTATAAATTTGGGGTTTCAAAAATCACTTAAAAACACCCAAACAAGAGACATTACGTCCTGTGGCAAATATTTCATGCATTTTTAGGACAACAGCATATAAACAATAAATATTATTGTTAAGTTCTTTAATGAGAGACGGAAGACTTCTTCCTGGGACTTTAGAATTGTAACATTTTTATTACAGGTATTTGGGAATAATTCTTATATGATTTGCATATTAGGGAATACGTTAATATGATTGGTCAAGAGGGCTTCCGGTAGTGGATCTTGACGTTATTTATTTTTCGATAGACGACGTTGACAGAACTACTTTTATTAACCAATGTAAACAAGATGGCTGCGATAATAACACAAACCGGTTCAATGTTAAAAATATTTATTTTCACTTAGCGTTCATCGTCAAATTAAATTATAAACACAAAACATTTATTTGAAAGAAAATAAGATATTCTTTTAGGTTATTTTTTCAGATAACAAATTTCATGGAGTATATTTTATGGTGTTAACCCAAAAAAATATTCATGCCCCAGGTCAATTCAAAATGCCATAAATTTACAATTTATGTGTAATAGAGGTTACGAGTGGAGAAATCAAATTCCTTATCTCTACATTCAAAGAATTATAAGGATTAAATGCATTTTTAAAGGAATTTATTGGTGTATAAACTGGACCAAGTCACTCACAAACATATCATAAAAGTCCTTTGGACTTTTATTTGTTTGTGAGTGAATTGGTCGAGTTTATACACCAATAAATTCCTTTAGAAAGTCGTTTAATCCTATATTGCGCCTAAATTTGTACAGTTATTAGGAATTTACACTAATCAGGACTCAGAACTTAATAATATTTTTCGGGAGCGAAGAAATACCGCTTTATTTTTACGGGGTTTCAGTATAACAATCTTTTATTCTCCTTTATATACAAAGTACATTGTAATAGAGGCTGTTTAAAATTAAAGTTGGTGAAATTCTAACTGCCACTAAATAACAAGGGTATATGTATAAGGACTAAAATATTGACGGCATCCAAAAAGAGTTGAAAGGATTTTAATGTGCAGATAGTGGGAATAACCGACTTCCATTTGTCTATACAAAAAACAATAACAACGTGTTAGCTTTAAATTTATTTTATGAATGTATTTCAATCATTCATTATCAGTTTGTTCGTCTGTTTAAACCATTCAGATTTCATTTTTGTTTTGAAAGGGAAGTAACTCCTTATTAACCCTATATGGTTGCTAACCCTTTATGGTAACTAACCATGTATTTTTTAGGACACCCTATATCAAATATATATAGTCACCATGTGTTATTCATTAACCAATCATATCCCCATAAATCTATAGGAGGTAAGATAAAATATATTATTGCCACTACAATTATCTGAAATAGAATTTGTATATTTCTCATTGAGTTTCCATTGACATGTATGAAAATAAGGAAATGTTGTTAAGTTGTGATTAGACAACTATTCACCAAGTTGTGTCCCTTTATAATGTTACATGCAAGTAGGGGCATCATCTATGACCCATGGGCCCATTCCTCATTTATTTAATTGTAATCAGTTTTATACTTCTTTGCAGCAATCAGTCAGAAGTTATGAACGTGGCAGCTACTTGACATCTTTGAATGATTTCCTGTCATCAGTCAGATTGCAGGAATTCTCAGAAAAAGAAAGAAAAACATGGCAGTCCTACACATTTAAAACAAGAAACACCTACAAAGAAAGAATTGATGAGATTATGAAATTGATAATAGGAATTTTATTTCCAAATGATGTTGACGAAGTAATTGAAGATATAAAATGTCCCAAGCAGTTAAATGAAGAAAACAGAACCGATCATACAGAGTACAAAGATATTGTCACTTCATACAGAAAAGCAGAATCCTGGCAACAAGGGAGACAAGTTCTTTCAGTTCTTGCCTCAAGAATGTCCTTCAAGGACTTACTGTCTCTACTACCAGAAGTAACATCCCATCGCTACTATGCTGCTCTCAGTCATTCAAAGAAAATAGGGCCAGCACTTCCAATTCCCGAGAAAAAACTGCATCGACAAAAATTAGATCCTGAAAGATTAGACTCATTCTTAGATTTCATTACATCCAGTCATGTTGTCCGTGATCTACCGTTTGGGGAAAAAAAACTAAAGTTTTCAGATGGAACAGTCCACAATTTACCTAATGTTGTACGTTGCATGGGTTCAGCAGACATAATACAGCAGTACAAAGCATACTGTCAGGAAAATGAAGTTTTACCTTTAGGTAAGGCCAAATAAAGATATATATATATAGATAAATAGAAAAATTAAAGGATATCATATGGGGTATCCATCCATGACACAAAATCTAAAAAAAAAAAACACACACAAAAAACAAAAAGCAAAGGAACAGTGCATTTTAATATTGCTGTTCTTTATCTCAAAGTCACAATGACACCTTCAACAAGGTGCAGGTTTAAGATGGCTCCTAGCACTTTTTTGGCTGGAATTCTATGCAAAAATAATTTTGATAGACTTTGTAAAATGCAACACCACCTGAAGTAGGCCTTGTTAAAAAACACATACTTGAAAGAAGTACATATTTAAAACCAATTAGTTCCTTCGCATAGGTGTAAATTTGAAATTATGTGTAGAATATATTTAAATAGTAAGGCATCAGATGAAAGGTGAAGGACTGGTTATCCTTGTAGAATACATATTGACTAATAACATTGAATATTGAAAAAATGTATGAATGAATTCTAAAATGGATCAAATCTACCCTATTTGTGCTACTTGGACATAAAACAATAATCAATCAATCTAAACTTGTTGTTACTGTTTTTTAATAGGTGACAGTACGATGTTCAAAATACTTGCCCAGTGTGGTGCTAAAGTCAGAAAAAGCCTTGAAGGACTGGATTATTTTGTAGCAGAAGGAGGACGTGCCTTTATTACCCTTCAAGATGTCTTAGACAAATTGCTGACCTACGACGCTATATCACCTGATGACCACAAAAGTTTTCAGGCACTGTTCTTACAATCAAAGCAGTATTTAAGGACTGACTATAAGGTTTGTTAGAATTAATTTAGGACACAATTAAATGATAAATAAGTCCATTTATGTGATAAATTCGAAATTGCCATATGTTTTTATGTTTTTTACTTTATTCAGTTTTCTAATCGTTGGGGTGCCAGAATAATATAAATTATATAAATAAAGATTTGCATTCATCCATTACAGAAATTTCATTTAGATTAAATAAACCCTTGATTTTTGTGTCGCCTTGAGGTAGTCAAAAAGTGACTCATACGTATGCTGTTGCCAGCATTGGTGGCATAGTTTGTGATGACATCTAGTTTATTTGCAAACCACTAGTATTAGGCCAATAAAATTGGAACAAATGTAGTTCATTTGTTATTTTATATACCTTCACAGTAATTATACCCCACGCAACAAGTTGCGGAGGGTATAATGTTTTTGACCTGTCTGTCTGTCCGTCCGTCTGTCCGTCCGTCAGTCCGTCAGTCCTATTTCTTGTCATCGCAACTCCTCTCAAACCACACAACAGAATTTCACGAAACCTTTTTAGATAATAAGGACATACTATGTAGTTGTGCATATAGACAGGAAATTACGATTCATTTTTTTTTCTTAAGTGTTACGCCCCTTTGAACTTATTTGCTTCAATGTACTACTACAAAAGTTTGTTATTGCAACTCTTCTGAAACCACACAACAGAATTTAATGATACTTTGTAGATAATAAGGACATACTACGTAGATGTGCATATCGACAGGAAATTATGATTCAATTTTTTTTCTAGGAGTTATGCCCCTTTGAACTTATTTGCTTCAATGTACTTTTGCAACAGTTTGTCATCACAACTCCTCTGAAACCACACAACAGAATTTCACGAAACTTTGTAGATAATAAGGACATACTGTGTAGATTTGCATATTGACAGGAAATTATGATTCAATTTTTTTTTCTTATACAATTTTTTTTTCTTACACTTATTTTATTTCTCCAATGACAATGTGGGGACGTGGGGTATGTGAGCGCGCTCACTAAGGTTCTTTAATTTAAAATATTTTCAGATTCATATTTCAAAGGGAAGAGAAGTAGCAGATCACTGTATGTTGTATGCCCTCAGTGATGAAAAAGATGGGGCTTTGTCTGTTCTATGGTCGGGTTGTTGTCTCTTTGACACATTCCCCATTTCCATTCTCAATTTTATAGAACAATGTTCCCACAATCACCAGATGGTCTGTGAAAGCTGTGAGCAGTTGAAGGAGACCATTGCTGCTTTAGAAAAGATCTTTGTTACTTCCTCAGTAGATGGAAAAGAGGATGAGATGAATGACCTTAATTTTAGGGTAACTAATTATATTATTTATATGAGCACTTTAAATGTAAAAAAAAGTTTCGATTACATTTACATCTGATCCTTCAAGGAAATTCATTACCCTTATCTATTATTGTTACTTATTAGTTTCTTTTGAATATTTCCTCCAACTATATGAATATATCCATTTTTTTTCAAAATACAATACTATCTTTTTCAATATGATAGTTTATGATCAATCTTCCTATTTGACTGGCTATCATTCTGCATAAAATTTTCACTACATAATATAACAAAGGTGTACTTGACTAGATGGAAAGAGCAGCTGTATCATATTTAATTATTTTCTTATTAACTTATGAATTAAATAAAAAGAATCAACTAGTTCAGGATATGTTTAATCAGAGAATATTCAATTTTGAAGTGTGAATGAATCTTCACTAGGCTAATTGAATTTGCAACAGTAAAGTCTACAATTTATGTTTACACTGCTTTAATTAATCCCCTCAGAAAACACCAAAGAAAAAGCATACATTTTAGAAAACTGACATCAGAGATCAGAATAAGATATCACCTAACTGGTCATACCTAAATTTAGAATAAAAATTAAAAATATGAATTGATCTTCTTTTTTAGGTACAACAAGCAACAAGAAATATTTTCAGCCTGAAAAAGCACATAATAAGATGTAAAAACCAGGACTTAGCAAAAACTCATCTATTTGAAACTATGCCTACAGATGAAGTTTTACTGGTATGTGACTGGGCAATGAAGTTTTTGCCCCGAAAGTTTCGTGAAGATCAGTGTGATTGGTTTGGAAAGAGAGGAATCCCATGGCATATATCTATAGCCTTTTGTAGGAAAGATGATGGAAGCATTGGTAGCCTTGGATTTGTTCATTTGTTTGCAACGCAAATATCCCAGGTTAGTACAACTTTTAACATGAATAAGCTATAATATTTATGTACAAATAATTATTTTTTACCGTAAAGATAAAATATTGAAAAATATATGGTAGGGCAAGTAGGAAATTTGTTGCAAAATTCAGCTATTAAAAAGAAAGAATAGAGGGTAAATGTACATGAGACAACATCCCAACGTATAACATAGTTTAAATTAGAATAAATCTGAAAGGCACACAATAAAGCAAGCTGAAGATGGTGTAATATACCTAGCAGACAACTTGTAAAATATTTTTAAAATATGTAAGAGGAACCATACCATGACAATGAGAAGGAATATCACATAAAAGAAAAAAAGCAAAGACACTGGCTAATGAATTGAATCTTGCCATTGATGTGATTAAATGTGGTCGGTAAACCGATGTGGTTGTGAGATATCTATTATCTCATTTATCATATTCATAATGCAATTTGATACACTAAAAATAAAAGACAAACTAGTGAACATGTATATCATGAATTAATGTTGAATTAAACATTTGCTTGTTAATTTTTTTTTTATCTTGGGGTTGGTATCATTAATCAAATAGTGTATGTACATGTAGGACTACCCTAAACAAATCTGTTTTTGAATGCCTGTCCATTTACTTGACATGATACCGTCTCCTGAAAACAATTTAGTATCTGTGCTCTTACTTCAGTTGTAGTTGATAAATGCTTATGAAATGGATATTTTATAAAGCGGTTTAAAGGTTGTGATTTATTTTGTTTATAATCTTTTAACAGGACAGCCGAGTAACAGCCAGTATCATCCAAGATGTTATGGACAAAATTAGAGAATTCAACACCACTGACATCAAATTTCATGTATGGTCTGACAATGCTGGTTGCTACAAGTCTACAGAGATGCTTTCATTCTTATTCCATTCAGGGCTTATCCTGTCATATGACTTCTGCGAATCCCAGAATGGGAAGGGACCATGTGATCGCACTGCCGCAACCATCAAATCTTCTATTAGAAGATATGTAAACCAGGGTCATGATGTACTTACAGCACAATCAATGAAAAACACTACAAAAGTCAAAAAGTCTGAAAAGACCAGTTTTTGTCTGAATTTGCATGAATTTTTACTCGACATTCTTAATTTGTCTGAATAATTTTTAAAAATTCTTGACATAGTATGAATTTGTCTAATAAGGTTCTTGATTTTTCTTGACAAGTGTCTTGACAGTATGAACATTGTCTTAAAATTTCTCGACACTTCCTGTATCATCTGATAAGAGTCTGGATTAGTCTCGACCAATTCTTGACTGTCTTAAATTTGTCTCGATCTGTCTTGACATATTCTTGACATTCTTAATAATGTCTGAATATGTCTCGACATATTCTTGACATTCTAAATAATGTCTGAATATGTCTCGACACATTCTTGACAGTCTTAAATATGTCTTGACACTATCTCAACAGTATAAATTTCGCCTGAAATGTGAACAGACTTATTCTGCACTGTTTATGACATTCTATTGCTGTTATATACTCCTTTTTATTATGGCTAAACTAAACTTTGAAGAATCAAGGATTAATTTGGTATATAAAGTAAGATACCCTTTTGGTGCAACTAAGTTGTAATACCCTGAATAATCCCCCGTGTAGTTTAATTTTGATTTATTTTTATTAAACATTTAAGTAATTGTTTTCACTTGGAATATAAGTAGAAGGTATTGACAAACAGAATTTAGATTTTTGCCGTTCGCAAAACTGCCAGTCAAATTTGCTTTACTAAAATAGGTGTCTTGTATCTCTTTTGGACCCCACAATTCATCTTTTGGGTTTGTGTAGCTAAAAAAAGAGGGGGGGGGGGGGCTTTCGTTTAGGTCAAAGAATTTGTTCCCATCTTGATTCAAAAACCTTATTTATTTTTTAGAACAACCCAAAAACATTTTTTATTCAAATTTGAGTGTTGAATTTTATAATTTTTTATCAAAAATAAATATTAATAAATAATAAAAAAACTCCTTCCTGAAAAGAAAAAAATGTTTAGAGCTATATTATGCATGTCTGTTTGAGAACCATTTCTATAGAAATCATTGATGGGACCCATTATAAATACATTTTTTTTATTATTCCTGGAGTAGATAATAATTTTCTTTTAATCTTTGGGAATTATTCAATTTGTTTTTATGTTAAAATAATTAACTTCATAATTTTGATGAAGAAAATCCATTTCAATTCAATTTTTTTTCATCAAAATGATGATTTTCATTTTCATCTATCAACAAACTTTTTAAATTGTAGTGGCATGGTCGGTCAACTGATAAGTTGTATGGCTGATTACAGGTAAAGCAATAACTTCTATTTGACAGTTGTGTGTACTCTGGGGTGTGGAATACCTTAATTTTATGGGGAACATCCTGTCTATGTGTAATACTTAATATATTCCAACAGATGACATTACACAAATTTTTCTTCTGTTAAATGAATGATTTGTATATCATCATAATTTGCTATTTATATAAACCACATTTTGGTATAATAATTATTTACCATATCAACATTGAATATTATCAATGTAGAATGAAATATGTCTACAGTATAATTGGTTTGAATCATTTAATTTATAAGATTTAGGAATCAAAATTTGTAATTATTTAAAAACCCACATTGAAATTGTTTTATATCAACACAACCACATTTGAATTATTTTATACTTTAGATTTCATAGCCATATTTGCATTTGTAAAAATATTTATATACCCAAATTTTCAATTATTTTACATGCCCAACTTTTATTTTTGTTGTAAAGAAGTGTAACTTGAAACAACAGTATATCATATAAAGAGAAATAAAGATTAAAGTTATATCATGAATATTGGTCATGATTTGTAAAACTCAGAACTGTCAAGTAAATTTAAGACACGATTCAAAATGTTCAGAATATGTCAAGCCATACTGAGAAAAAATAAGAATGTCGAGAATATGTCGAGAAATTTCAAGACAGTATTCAAATGTCAAGAATTTGTCAAGAAATTTTAAGACCATATTCAGAATGTCGAGAATATGTCGAGTAAATTTCATACAAATTTAATATAAATGAGAATTTGTCAAGAAAAATTAAGACACAAGTCATACTTTTGGAGAATGTCGAGTAAAAGTTCATGCAAATTAAGACAAAAACTGGTCTTTTCAGACTTTTAGACTTTTGTAGTGAAAGGTACAGATAGTTTTAAAAAAACAATAAGTTTCATGTCTTAAAAATCTCAAGGTTACAGCTGTAAATGTACTTTGAAATTCAGAAATTATTGCGAGGTTTTTATTAATGGGAATAATTTGACTGGGTGAGTATAGTATTAATAAGAACTCTCATTCTGATATTTTAAACATACGTCTGTATGCACCTTTTGCAGAAATGGCAGTAATTTATCTCGCAATTTCATTCTTCAAAAATTGCAATAACAAATGCACACAATAATTTCTTAGTTTACAGTAATCTAACAATGTCAGCCCCAAGCAAAACAGTAATCAAGGTTTATTATAAAAGATCCAGAAGAGCATGAGTGCAGCTTTAAAAATATTTAAATCATGTGGAAACCAGTGAGCAACAACAATAACTAATTTGGTTTTATAAAAGCTGAAGAAGGAATTAGACCCAATTATGGGACAGCTGAAGTTACTTTATTACTCTATATAAATATAAAAACAAGAATCAGTATGATTGCCCATGATACAACTCTCCACTGGAGACCAAATGACATAGAATTTATCAATTATAGGTCACTGCAAGGCCTTAAACAATGAACAAAACCCATACTTCAATGTGAGCTCTTTTTATGCCCCATTTATGGGCATTATGTGTTCTGGTCTGTGCGTCCGTCCGTCCGTTCAATCGTCTGTTCGTCCAGCTTCAGGTTAAAGTTTTTGGTCAAGGTAGTTTTTGATGAAGTTGAAGTCCAATCAACTTGAAACTTAGTAAACATGTTTCCTATGATATGATCTTTCTAATTTTAATGCCAAATTAGAAATTTTATCCCATTTTCACGGTCCACTGAACATAGAAAGTGATAGTGCGGATGGGGCATCCCTGTATTTGGGACACATTCTTGTTTGTTATGATTTTGTATCTATTATGTTATGAGGTTTTTATAATTTAAGTAAAGCTTTACAACCAAAAAAAAAAAGCCAACAGTTCTAATCTGCTCTAGTTATTTTTCTTCTTATAGGCATTTACAATAATTTCACTTTATTTACAGGCAATAGACAAGTCAGCCAAAAATGTAAAGTACATAGTTCGTGTTATAGAAGGAACTGAGTGTAGGAAAACCAAGTACACTCCTATACCAGGAATATCATCTTACAGTAACTTCACATTTAGCGCACATGGCATTACTGCATGGAAGGCATACCAAGTTGGCACAGGTAAAAAGATAAATATTATTTTCATAATTCCCCTAAACATGAATATAAAAAAAGAAGATGTGGTATGATTGCCAATGAGACAACTATCCACAAAGAGACCAAATGACACAGAAATTAACAACTATAGGTCACTGTACGTCCTTCAACAATAAGCCCATTTGGAGTCATCATTTTCTTATCTTTTCTTTTTATAATTTCCTAATTATGATCTCAAAACACTGATTTTCTATTGTTAGCTGTAAGCAGTCAATAGACCATAATTTTATATATATGATTCAAGTATTGTCTTTTGCGATTATGTTGAAAACAACCTCACATATTTTAGTTTGCTCTAAGTCAGAATATAGTGTCCAAATATTATTTATGTCTTCCTGCAAACCGTTTCCTTTATGTGGGTTAGCAGGTTTAAGATCCAAATGAACAAGTTTGCTGGCACTATTTAGTTCTCTCCCTAACATGGGACAGTGGTGTAACAGTACAACATCAGAACAAACTATAAAAAACAGTTCTTTCTTGTCAGATTGATCAATACAAAACAAAAAACAACTGACAATATAGACACAGACTAGATGTGGCAGGGATTATATATATCCAGCACAACACAAAAAAGACTCAAAGTAAAGTTATATTCATTTCACACATACATTTCATGTCCATAGCTACAATATAGCCAGTTCATGTTGACCAAGTGTAAAACAGCAACAATCAATCAATTAATCAATTATTGTTTGAACAGTATTCTCAAATTACAAGTTATATAATTTTATTTTCTACATTTTAGGAAAGCTAATACCTTCATCTAATATTCCAACCGTTGAAAAGTGTATTCTCAATACTTCATGTTCAGAGATAGAGGGTGAAATTGATGTGGTTTTTCACCAACTGCCACTTAAAGCTGAAGAGGAAGAAAACACCATAACATGTGCAAATGAGGGATGCACACTGTCTTTTTCTTCTTTTCATGAACTGTCAAGCCACTTAATGTTCGGCAAGTGTGAGTTTGAATTTAGGTGCCAGTTTAGTAATGGATGTGACATTACTAAGAAGACTTACATTACAAAGATGTCTAAGTCTTTTTCAACCAACTTTCAAGTTTCATCAGCAGGACTGACAGTTGGAATTGATGACAACTCAGATTTAGAACTTGGCTGGGCATTGAAAGAAGAAAGGAAGAACAAACGATTCAATGTAAACCAAAAAGAATATCTTACTGAAAAGTTTAATAAAGGTCTAAAAACTGGAAGAAAAGAAGATCCTTTTTTGGTATCAGAGGAAATGCTGACTGAAAGAAAAGAAGATGGAAATAGAAGATTTTCATATGATGAAATCCTTTCTGTACAGCAAATCACAAGTTTCTTTTCTAGAATGAGCAGGAAGAACAAATCATTTGATGATTCCGTTGATGCATCAAGGGAAGAAACTATAACAACTATCAGGAGAGAACTAACTGCAGATGAACTTAATTAAATTTTGTTTACCAACTTTATGTAGAAAACTAAAAATATTTTATGAACTTATAATATGGTATGATTGTCAATGACACAACTCTCCATAAATGACACAGAAATTAACAACTATAGGTCATTGTACAGTCTTCAACAATGAGCAAAGCCCATACCGCATAGTCAGCTATAAAACGGCCACAAAATGACAAATTTAAATAGGTTAAAGTGAAATTGCAAAAACCATTTGAGCCAATTTGTCTTTCTAAAAAAACACCAATGAGACATCAGATTTCTATTTAGATAGTTATATATATATATGATTCGACTGACTGGCATCAGCAACTTTTCATGCTGCACCTACGATAGAAAGGGGAATTATGTTTTCTGGTCTGTGCATCCGTATGTCCCACTTCAGTTTAAAGTTTTTGGTCAAGGTAACTTTTGATGAAGTTGAAGTCCAATCAACTTGAAACTTCCCTATGGTATGATCTTTCTAATTAAATTGCCAAATTAGATTTTTGACTCCAAACTCACGGTCCATTGAACATAGAAAATGATGGTGAGAGTTTCCGGTATAAGTTTTTGGTAAAAGTTTTTGTTCAAGGTAGTTTTTGGATGAAATTGAACTCCAATCAACTTGAAACTTAGTACACATGTTCCCTATGATATGATCTTTCTAATTTAATATGTCTAAATGCCAATTTAGATTTTTGACCCCAATTTCACAGTCAACTGAACATAGAAAATGATAGTGCGCATGGGGCATCTGTGGAGGATTGACACATTCTTGTTCTTGCTTAAATTAATAGTGAGATTTGGATTTCCTATGATATTTCCAACCAAAGACAGAAAATGACTCTTGTGTTTTGTTTGCACAGTGTTTTAACATCAGTGCAAGGCTGTAGTATATTATTTCAAAGTTTAAGTGAAGTGAGCTGCACCATGTATTCATTTTCACAGGTTCAGACTAAATTTACACTGAAAATTCCTAATTTTACCACAAAACTGTAATTTACAGCCTCTTGATATTTGACTAGGTCTTAATCTTCACTGACATGGTAACCTTCACAACACCCTTTTGTTTGATATGTGCTTTTTGAAAGGATACCGGAGTAAATCTTTGTATGCAGTAGCTATAAAATACATATTTTTGGGGAATTTTTTTTTTTTTGCTTAGGGTCATATAAATGGTTACTATGGTTACCACAATCTTAAATTGACATTTATCTCTTCAAAATGGTGTTAAATCAGTATTTAGATCAAATTGAACTAAATTTTCTTCATTTATAACTTAAAATTTGCAAATTTCACAAAAATATTTTTTTTTAGATATTTTCATTCATTGCCATGGCACCGCATTTTTTTTTTTTAGAGAAATAACACTATTCCAATTTTTTGATATTTTGGACTTTATGCTTTATGCATTACATATGCATTATATTAAGAACATCTGTCGGTGCATTTTTTCACAGTCTATTATTAAAATTGGTAAAAAATACAATTTTCAAGAAATTCAAAAAAAGTCAAAATCAAGGTTTTTGGCAGCATAAAAAAACTGTGATAGCAACTTTGTTTTATTATGTTATTTATTGTTATTATATGCCTAGATCATTGTCTTCATGATGACAAATAAAGAATATGACTTCAGAACAGTATGCTTTATGTTTTACATGCAAAGAAAACGGTAATTTCACTGATTGAAAGACTCTTGTAGAAGCCTTATTTGGTGATGTATGGTAACCATGGCAACCGCAACTCTGTGTATCAATATTATACCAAATTTCGAACAAGGGTGACATATGAGTATTAACTACCAAGTTTCATTGAAATTTGAGGTCCTCACTTTCCCACCCTATATCAGAAATTTTGATGCTTACAGAGAATGGCTCTTAAAATGTTTGTTCCAACATACTTGCACTTGAACTCGATTATAAATTTGGAAATGTGCTTTTATTTAAGTAACACATATGTTCACAATTGACCCCCTACCCACCTTACTACAGCGAATCAGTATACATTACAGTATATTTTCCAAGCAGGAAAATATATCTGTTTCAATTATGTAATTGTAATTTCAAAATAATATTCGGTCTGTTGGAAATGAGTTTCAAGAAAGTCCTATAAGAGCACAACCGTCATCAATTGCTACATTACCAAGTAATTAGAAGAATAGATTACAGGGAAGTAATCAATTATTTGGATGAGGGGATATGTACTCATGAAAGATAATGAAAGTAGCCGTTAATTTAGTTCCAAATCAATAGACAATTTGTTTTGATTGTTTTGATTTAAAGAATTTGAAAAATATATTTCGACCAATCAGAAAGCAACTTACACACATGTTTGCCTTTAGCATCGTTCGCTTTTCAATCTTCAATGAAATAAAAGTACCCTTTGTAAATGGATTTCAAGTGTGTCGGGTAAACCGTATTTAAACTCTTCCAAAAATGTTTGTATAAAGTTACTTTGGAAGTTCAAACCAAAATATCGTTGAATAGTTTTTAACATTTCTACTTTTTCACGTAAACATTATAAGCAAGAAGCCAAACCGCGTCTGAGAAGCATCGGATATTATTCTTTCGTACCTCCAAATCCAAAGCTGAATGAAAGTTGTTGCATACCAGGATTGTAGTCAAAGATATAACATGTAAACTTGTCTTCGTTCTCAGTTCTTTAAAAAAAAGTGAATACGTAATTGTTCGACTTATATTATATATATATATTGATATATATGTGTGTGTGTGTGTGTGTGTGTGTGTGTGTGTATCAATCCGTTCTTTGTGAAACTTTCATTTACAGTTCCAAAATGTATATTTATTTCAAAATTTAAGTAGTTAAGATGTAAATTTTCACTTAGTATTCTGGTGGTTGGAAATCTTGTCAGTTATGTCTTTTGATTGAAATTGGGGTTCTACATGTATGTATTACAATGTATTGTGTGACAGCAAGCATACAGTATTTCCTAAATCTCATATATTTTGTATGGTCTTAGGTTTCGCTCAACAATCATTTAAAATAACTGAGTACCATAACTTCCCCTGAAGAATGAAAACAATACAGAAGGAACTCGGAATCTAAGTAAACTATTAAAAGTATCAATAATCCCAAAGACGTCCGAAGATGATAAACGCTTTTTGGCGTTTGTTTTTGTTGCAGTAGAGTGTTTCTGTTGTTCCGTTGTTTTCCTCTTATAGTTGATGTGTTTCCCTCGGTTTTAGTTTGTAACTCGGATTATTTTTCTCTCGATTTATGACTTTTGAACAGCGGTATACTACTGTTGCCTTTATTTATATGAATTTGTAGGGATTTTTCCCTTAACAGATTTAAAATATAGGACCTGAAAGTACTCGATTACGGAATAAGAATGTATCCGTTCTAATACCCATTGTAAGGCTGACCTAGAAAATTTAAAAAAAATAGTGCGAGAGTAGTTTACCGATTTTCAAATTTCGTAAATCGATTAAAAACTGAGAGAATCGCATGAACTCCAAACGGAACAACACCGGGTTTACCGACAGGGTAAATAAACTCATCATAGATACCAGGATTAAAATTCTGTACGCAAGACGCGGGTTTCATTTACAAAAGACCCATCAATGACGCTCGAATAAAAAAGTTTAAAAGGCAAAGTAAAGTACGAAGTTAAAGAGCATTGCTGAACCAAAATTCCGGAAGGAATTCCAAATACTGCTAAGGTAATCTATTCATGGGGAAGACGATCCTTAGTTTTTGGTAAAGTTTAAAGTTTTATCAACAGTTGATTAATAGTCATGGCAATTTCAGTGATAATTCATATCAATGCGCAAGTGCTGACTACTGGTAGGCGTTTCCTGCTGAGTACACAACACCTGTCATGCGAATTCACACTCGGCACAATCGGCAATAAGACAAATTCGGTAAAATTACAGATCATACAACTATACTGGTGTTTAAAGACCTAAGACCACAAAAAATATGTCGAAAGTGAGTTGAGACAACGACATATTGTATCGGTTAACCTAATTGATGATGGTAAAACTTAAGTAGTATCGATTTCAGTCATTTTCCCTCATAACTTTGTTTGAGCAGGTTTTGTATAAGAAGTACACCCTTGTTAATGAAGTCTGTATAGTGTGAACATAAATAACTTAATATATAAGCTTATGTATGTTAACGACATATGACGGAGCAGAGGGTATGTTACTGCGAAAAAATGGTAAGTTGACAATTCGAAAGATGAAATCATTATGTATGTCATTGATGCTAGTTTAAAGTCGTCCATCTACATGTATGTCAATATTGAGTAAAAGATCAAGATGTGATGCAGAACTCGAACTTTCGGTAATATCTATAATTTCATATTCATTAGGATACATGAGATGTAAGCACTCATAAAATGAGAAGGTTCTGTTTGAATTCTGCTTTATATGATTACAAAAACATGTTAGCCAGTAGTGGTGAACACTTAGTACCCCTTGAATACAAACGAAATATGAATCCAACAAAGTCAACAAATATGATGTCGATTAAAACAATCCACAATTGTGACGATTTCATCTTTTGTATATTTGTTATGGGGATAAGTGTTGTTCTTCAAAAAGTAAGATTTTCCATTGCCTTAAACAATGAATTTATATCTACGTTTTCGATTTTTGTAGAAAAGCTCTGTTTAATGGGATGAAAAGTCGATCTTTAAATTGAGCAAATTCTGAATTTGATCGTTTTCCCTATCGAAACCATTGCAATAATCACGGGGTGAAATTTCGTAACGGTCAAGCATACCCAATTTAATATTTTTTAAAAGTCAATCTATGTAAATTCATATCGGTCAAAGAATTGAGTGCTTTTTTGTAGTTTTGTTTAGGTCCAAAAAGCGTTGATCGGATCACTTTTTTGTATAGATCACAGAAGCACTTAAAAAAATTGTTAAACAAATCAATTATTACTAAAACCTGAAGATGATGAATCGTTCAACACGTTGATAGCAGATTAGATTATCTGTCGTTAAACCAAAGATAAATTCACTTCTCATTCCGTCGTTATTAAACGTCCAAGTTC